GGGTCTCCACAAATATAATATATAATAATATATTATACCTAAACCAAGCCTAATTAAAATTCTTTAACAAACTAATTGGGTCCCACACTCTAATAAGGAGATATACCCAACATCTTTTATTTTTAATTTTTTTTAATTTGGTTCCTAAACTTATAAATTCTAGTTATATTAATTTAGTTTCAAACGCATGAGTCTAAATAATTAACAGAATAATAATAAAATGCTCCTATGCCCTTTAAATTTTATTTAAATTAGTGATTCGAATTTGAGATCTTAAATTTTATTTTTATGCATTTACAGTTTGGCCAACTCCTAAGGTTGATGTGAAGGATTAAATTGACACAAAATACAAATTTTAAGGGGCCCTATTTGGACTTTATTACAATTCCATTAATAATTTAGATCACCATTTGTACATGGACGATATTGATAAATTTAAAACTTGAAAAGACCATAGTGATAGGGTAGCAAACTTTATAGACCATATATTTATTCTATCCTTACTAATACATACATATATATTTGGTTAGTTTCACATAATATTTTTTACTAGTAATCAAATAAATAAGAAGAAATATCTTTTTTAGAGAAAATATAAAAAAAACAATATTATATTGATTTGAAAAAAATAAATAAATTTAAAAGTAGTTCATATGCTTTTTTACTAAATTTACAGGGTTAATTAATTACCTTTTCAGTTCTCAAAATATGAGTTTTGTATCATTTTGTTACTTAATGTTTAAATTGTGTCAATATGTTTCATAATATGTATATATATATAATGTTTCAATTTAGTACTTTAATATTTAATTTTTGTCTATTAGCAATTTTAGATTAAGAATCTCAAACACTTTTATCCTTGTCACCTTTTCTCTTATTTTTGTTTAGAAAATGAATTTGTATATATAAGGATTTGAAAAAAAAAAAAAAAAAAATTCAACTATATTTCATCCATTCATCCATTATTTTTTTTTATTTTATTTTTTTAATTATTATTTTTTTAACGTTTTTAAAATTTTATATTCAAATCAATTATCCAAAACTCTCTTACGTGGGACTCTCGTATCCTCTTGGCTTCCGTCCAAAATCATCTTACAAAATATCTAGCTAGCTTTTGTCAGTTTGTTAACTCTTCTCTCTTTAGTTGCATTCATTCCAATCAAACGAAAGCAATTGATGTTTAAATATACTATTACAAAATTAATAATTTATAATATGGTAACGAAGTCTGATAAATTATAATGACAAGTCATGTGTAAACAAAAAATTTAAATTAGATTTTGCGCTAAAATAATGTGAACAATTCTTACATCCCAACATTTGAAACATAAATTTGAATCAAGTAGCAATTCCCTCCATTTGCATAACTGATTTCGAATATTAACAAAGAATAGCAACTTGACAATATTAGTTATATTTAACATTATTATATTTTTATCAAAATTTTACGTTAGTCTTTCAATTCTAGTCTTTAGTACTTCTACACTTTCATCAAAATTTTACTTTTTTTTTATCGTCAAATTTTTTTTTTCTTGATGAAAATTATCAAACAAAAAAGATAATACATTAAAAAAGAACAAAAAGAGGTAAATACAAAATGTATCAAAGTAGAAAAAATAGATCCACATTTTTTCTTGATGAAAATTATCAAACAAAAAAGATAATACATTAAAAAAGAACAAAAAGAGGTAAATACAAAATGTATCAAAGTAGAAAAAATAAATACACAAAGTTGATATGGAAAGGAGGAGGAGGAGGAGGAGGAGGAGGAGGAGGAGGAGGAGGAGGAGGAGGAGGAGGAGGAGGAGGAGGAGGAGGAGGAGGAGGAGGAGGAGGAGGAGGAGGAGGAGGAGGAGGAGGAGGAGGAGGAGGAGGAGGAGGAGGAGGAGGAGGAGGAGGAGGAGGAGGAGGAGGAGGAGGAGGAGGAGGAGGAGGAGGGAGGGGAGGGGGCCATAAAAACCGGTTTGAGGAGGAGGGGAGGCTGGGCTGCGACGGAGGCGAGGCTGCGACGGAGGAGGAAGCAGCAGCGGCGGCCGGAGCTGCGACGACGGCGGGGCGGGGCTGCGACGACGCCGACCTTCTTCCTCTCCCTCCCTTCTCTTTCTCCTCTCCCTCTCTTTCTCTCCCTCTCCCTCTCCCTCTCGAGCCATTTCGAGCCTGGTAGCTTCGAGCTACCAGGCATTTCCGTTATGTGCAAGGCAAACACCAAAATTGATAAGAAACCCAAAAAAAATAAAATAAAATAAAATAAAGCGCGCTCGAAGACTTCTCTAGCTAAAGCAAAAAGCAAAACACTCAACTACTGTCAAGATCAAGGGAAATTTTATAATTCCGTTTGGTAGCTCGAAATTTTCATGGCTTGACTGGTCCGAATATCAAAACGACGTCGTTTTGATATATATATATTTCTTTTCTCTTTCTCGTTTTTCTGTAGATCTGAAGATTGAAGAAGAAGATCATCAGCCAATAAAAAATCAAAATTAGAAATCAAGAACATCCTCATCGCGAAGATCAGAAAAAAATCAGAAAAAAAAAATTCTTTGATTGATAGATCTACCAATTCTTTGATTTCTGATTCTTTGATAGATCTACCAATTCTTTGACATCAAGAACAAAAAAAAAAAAAAATCAGAAAAAAAAAATCAAGAACATCATCAACACATCAGCCAACAATTGCCAACAATTTTTTATTTGTTTTTTCTTTCATCTTCAAAACAACATCAAGGAACAAAAAAATAAAATAAAAATCAAGAACATCTTCATCATATAGTTTCAGGAAATCTGTTTGGAGCATTTCAACAAACAATATGTGAGCATAGGAAAATATAGGTGGTGTAATTCATAATATAATTTAAGGCAAATCCCAGAATTGAAGGAAAACTGTGAAGTCTAACACAAATCACAAATTGAAGACAAATCCCAAAATCTATATAAATCGTCGTCCGTCGTTCGCTGTCCATGTCTGTCGTTTGTCCTCCGTCCTCCGTCATGGTTCGTTCTCCTCCGTCCGTCGTTCTCCTCTATCAGATTCGATTCTCCATTGTTTTCCTCTATCAGCTATCGATCGGAAGGTTTTCACACAAATGAAAGGGATGACAGAGATGAGAGGGATAACGAAAGAGATTCACTGAGATGAGAGAGATGAGAGACAGAGTGTATTTCATTCCGTATTGAGCTTATAGACACAGATAGGGAGGAGAGAGAAAATATTGCTTTTCGGGTAAAGTTCGAGCCACCACTTTCGAGCTACGAAACAATTTTTGAAATTTTAATACACACCCTTTTTAAAAGGGTGTATTATTTACATTCTTAATTATATTATTTTTTTAATTATTTTTTTTATCGGTTAAAGTTAGTTGTTAGTAATTAAATTAAGACCTATATGGGAGTTAGACTCCTCACCCTATGACTTCGTTTGGGAAGATGAGTTGGATTAGGTTTGGGACTATTTTAGCTATAAAAAGATAAAATAGGCTTTTTAACCCAATAATACAAAACATCACATCAAACCCATAATCTTTACATTCTTTCTCTTACAAAAAGCCAAAAAAATCAAAAAATCATTCCCAAATGAGACTTTTTAGCTCCATGCTAAAATAACTAAAAAACCAACTCACTTTCCAAACGAACCCTACGCAAAGTACCAAGTGTTTACCGCCCCTTAATTCAACTCTTTTTAGGAAGAGTTGAACCCATGACCTTAAAGACTAAATCCTTAGGCAATGACGGAGTCAGGAAATTAAATCAGATGGGATATTTATTAATTATAATATTGATATTTTTTACAACAATATTTCACATAAACTCTTACGATTGACTTTAAAAAAGATCCAAAAAGATAAAGTTATTTGTAACTAATGCATCATGACAATACAAAAAAAGTTATGGATACAAGTCTTAAAATAAATTATATAATAATAAAGTAATTTTTTTTATTCAAAATTTAAGTAAAAATTCAATATAATGGTAATACCATGTCATCATTGACACATGATATCATCAATCAATAATAAAGAAACATATAGAGAGTGAACCCACATATCAAATGTAACTAAAAATTCAATAAATTCTATATTTTCAAAGTAAGATTAATTATGTTTACATGTCAATAATGATAGATATTACCGTTACATTAAAATTTTTTTATAAAATTTTCATAAATAATAATATGACTTGTCGTAATCTTTTCATTATCAATCAAAACAAACATTATTGTCCACATAATTAAAAAAATGTCATTGACATTTTAGTTTAAATAATATTTTTATAATTTTTTCAAAAAAATATTTTTGTCATATTTGTTAATTTTTTTTTAAAAAAAAAAAACCCAAAACCAGCAAGGGAACGTGACCCCTGCCTCTCTATATCTCTACCCCTGCTCTTAAGAACGTCATAATCGCCAACCAAATTGGGTCTAAATAGTTAATTTTTTTCTTTAATTATAATTAACTTTCTTTTTTAAATATAATATTATTTTAATTATAAATTATGAAATTTTAAATTAGATGCAGCTTTCAATAGCAAGTGAATTTTTTTTTGTTTTTTTCTCCAATGGGTTTGTTTTTTATTTTTCTCCAATGGCCTTGTGAAAAGTGTTCACCAGAATGTTTGCTATATATGTAGAGAAGTGAGACATTATTGAGTGACAAAAAAAGAAAAAAAAAAGGGGCAGTCCTGTTGGCAGAGGAGAGAGAAACATTTAACACTTGATACATTTAAATGGGTTTCATGATTTCTGTCCAGTCCTTAATCGTATTAGATCGTATTATTAGGTTTGTGGGGGTCCATCATGACTCATGTTTTGATAATCTGAACCGTTCAATATGTAGAACTTGTCGAGTATTATATGCTTGTAAAAAATCACGTTAATCGGATATCGATAGCTATGTGATCAAATCAGTTTTGTATAAAAAAAAATAAACGGTGAATAAATTAACGGTTGACAAAAATCTATTTTGATCACATAACTATCGATATCTGATCAACGTGATTTTTTACAGGCATATAGTATTCGACGAGTTCTACACAATGACGGCTCAGATTATCAAAACGGACCCGTGGTAGGCCTCCACAGACCCAACAGCACGGTCCAGTCTGATTAAGGACTGGACAGAAGCCACTCCCTTTCACTTTTATATTATTGGAACATACACTTATTTTTAAAATTAATAAACACTGAATACGCATAAATAGATTTTACTGTTTTTTTTTTTTCATGTAACACATTTTAACAAACAAATTTAACAATATCACTCTAATGCCTTATATTGTATTTAGTTATATTTTAATTATGACTCAAAAAATATAAAATTATATCATTTTGTTTAATTATACTAAAAAAAATCTTTTTTCTGAGCTCTATGTTCAAAATAGAGGCTCCATCCACTAAACTTCCTTCAATAAGATATTTCCCCAAGCCCCTTCATCCAAATAGAGAGGAGACCATCTCAAAGAAGCTTCATAACTACAATAGAAGCTTCATCACCTTTGCTTGAGAGACTAACCATATCTTCTCTGATTCAAGTGCTTCCCAGCAACAGACCCCTTTTACACTTTAGTTTTTCCATCAATTTTTGAAATGACGTTATTCGGCTGGACCAATTATAACGTTACTCAAAATGTAAGAAATAAAATGAAACAATTAAAATATTAAAAAAATAAAGTGAAATTCGATGTAATGTACAAGAGTGCAAATTGCAATTTGCCCTTCATTATTTAACCTTACTAGCTAGTGTTTATGAACACTAATTGAATAATGATCTGGATGATATGTGAATAATTAGGATGGAAAAACTAGACATGAAATCCAAGAGCAGTGTGGCTAAGTGTATTGGCACCATAATATCAATCTTGGGGGCATTCACTGTGACTTACTACAAAGGCCCACCAATCATTTTCAATTCAACAAGTTCTGCTAGCTCATCGCATGAGGTTCTTCAATCAGATTGGGTGATAGGAGGTTTTCTCCTTGCTGCTAGTACTTTCTTGGTTTCAGTATTGTTCATTGTCCAGGTAGATACATCTCTCTCTCAAAAAAACTAAAAATAAAAAATAAAAAAAAAAGGTGACAATTTGGTCCCTTGGAAGTGTACACCTTTAAAAGTTGACAGTAATTTGAATAGAAGGACTAACTAAAACTGAATTTAAAGTGTAGGGGTTATACTGTTCAAATTAAAATAATAGGGATCACAGTAAAATTTCAGTTAAAGGTTAAAAGTGAAATTTCCTAAAAATTATACATTTATCAAAATATTTTAGTGGATGTTCTTTTTCATACAGTTTATAAGTGGAATCTGCCATGTTACATGATGATGGGTTTTAATATTTTTAAATGGAAGATGCTAAATTAATAAAAAAAAATTCGCAAAAAAAAAAAAAAAAAAAAAAAAAAAAAAGTCGTATAGAATTACGTGTCAAATGAGATTTTGTAATTATAAATTATAGTGATGGACTTTTTTATTTTTAGAAATATAGAAAACTAGTTATACAATAGATTAGTCTCATTACTTTCATTTTCTCTTTGCACCCATTTTAAGATTTTATACAATATCTTTTTACACCCTCAACTTTACCCCTTCTTTAACCTCGTATTTTGTCCTAATATCCACACTATTCTCCTTCTCTCTACTGCCTTATTTTTCTCTCCCTTTCTTTGATGTATGGATTCAAGGTAGTAGATGGTGGAATTAGTGGTCGAATTGTAGGGAGAAAAGGTGGTGGTAAGGGCTGGACAATGGTAGAAGAAGAATGTGAGGGGGGCAATAGAGAGAGAAAGGGGGGAGATTGGGATAGGAGGCAAAATCGGGATAGGGAGGAGAGGACATGAGGGAATCGGAGTGGGGGTAGGCAAGGTGCTAGGAGCTAGGGGTGCTGTGGCAGCTGACAATTGCGGAGGTGGGTGGTAGAAAGGCGACAATGGTGATGGGTGGTTGAAAAATTAGGTTTTAAAATTTTAGGGTTTGATAATTTTACATAAGGATAAAATTATAATAAAGTAAATAAAAAATATGGGGTGTAATCTTTTTTTTTGGAGTGTAGTTACAATCATTGTTTTGAAAATAAATAGTGAAACATATGTGCAACAAAAATCATTGTTTTGAAAAAGAAAAAAAAAAGAGAAATGTAGAGCTCTAATTGAAAACATCATTGCAGTCATTTTGTATCTAAAATACAATTAATAAAGATTACACACAAGAAGTTCTAAATATTATTGTGTGTCAAAGAAAACAAAAACATAACCAACAGATTTAAATTAATATTTTTTTTTTCTCATCTCTTCAGGCTTGGATTATCAGAGATTACCCTGCAGAGTTGATGGTAACACTAATTAGTAGTGCATTTTTGAGTATCTTATCGACCACAATTGCTCTAAATATAGTGAAAGATCCAAATGTTTGGAAAGTGAAGCCAGATATTGAGTTGGTAACCATTGTGTACTCGGTAAGCACATAGAATGTCATAAATTGTGATTTTCGGATTAATTATACTTGGTACACTTGTTTTTTAACTAAAATTTTAGTTGGACCCTTTCACTTTTAGTTATGATAATCAATTCCTTACACTATATGTTAAATTTGTTAAAACCAAGCACAACTACTCTCTGAGAGAACTCCTTTATTAAATTAAAGAACCAACATGGCTATTAAATAGCCTTACATCAAAGCAGAAAGGGAAATAACAACCCACGACTTTACAGCCCTAGAATCGTGGTGCATGACTAAATCTAAACAGAAAATAACTTGCTCCTTAAAACTAGGGATTATTATGCAGGACTTCAAAGCACTACAATCCTAAAAACAAGGAAACCCGAACCCTATCACGTAAAAGATCCTAACAACTTTAACATCCTCCCTTAAACTGAATGCTATCAATATTCAGTTTATCCTTGGATATTCGCAGACACCTATAAGACCACGCATCTTCACGAACACCTCGAGCTTTAGTGGCTTTGTCAAAATATCTGCAATTTGCTCATGAGTAGAGCACCGCACCAATTCAATAACTTCATCTTTGATGAGATTTCGAAGAAAATGAAAGCGCACATCAATGTGTTTGCTACGACCATGCATGACTGGATTCTTTGACAGTTTAATAGCTGAGATGTTATCGTAGTGAACCATTGTTGGTTTGTATTGACCATGATTAAGCTGCTCCAAAATCCTCCTTAGCCATACAGCTTGGAAAGCACTAGATGTAACAACGATGAACTCTGCTTCGGTAGTTGAAAGAGTGACTACTGGTTGTTTCTTAGAAAACCAAGACACTGCACTTGAACTCAGAATAAAAACATAGCCAGAGGTGCTCTTCCTATCGTTCTGATCACCAGCGTAATCACTATCTATGTAGCCAACAAGTTCCTTAGTTCCTCCCTTCTTGTAGAATAATCCAAAACTGACTGCACCTTTCACATACCTTAACACTCTTTTCGTTGCTTGCAAATGAGTCTCAATGGGTTGTTCCATGTATCTGCTAATTAAACTTACTGTAAACATCAAATCGGGACGAGTGGCTGTCAAGTACATAAGGCTTCCCACGATCTGTTTGTAATATGTCCCATCAATCCTTACTCCATTTTTATCCCTAGTGAGTTTAAAGCTAGGAACCATTGGATTGTGCACTGGATTGCACTAGGCCATATTGAATCTCTCCAAAACTCCTGAGCGTACTTCCGTTGACTGATGAAAATACCATCCACCCTTTGCAAAACTTCAATTCCAAGAAAATACCTCATTTTACCAAGATCAGTCATGTCAAATTCCATAATCATGGATTTCTTAAAGTGTTCAAACATAATCTCATCATTACCAGTGAATATAAGATCATCAACATAAAGGCACATAATCAAACCTTTTCCTCCGTCAGCCATTTTTAAGAACAAAGTGTGCTCATAAGGGCACTTCTCAAAGCCTTCTTGAACAAAATAGGTCTCTATTCGACTGTACCAAGCTCGAGGAGCTTGTTTGAGTCCATACAAAGCCTTCTTTAGTCAACATACCTTACGTTCCTGTCCCTTTTGTTCATAACCTGGTGGTTGATTCACAAACACTTCTTCATCTATCTCTCCATACAGAAATGCAGATTTGACGTCTAGTTGGTAAATCATCCAGCTTTTCTGGGCAACAAGTGAGAGGACTACTCAAATAGTATCCAAACGAGCTACTATTGCAAACACCTCAGCATAATCCACTCTATACTGTTGACTGTACCCTTTCGCAATGAACCGAGCCTTGTATTTGTCCACTTCTTCATGTTCATTGAGTTTCATTTTAAAAACCCATTTTACTCCAATTGTCTTTACTCCAAATGGCAGCTCGGTGAGTTCTCATGTATCATTCTTCACAATAGCTTCGATTTCAGCATCCATGGCCTGTCTCCATTTGCTACTCTTCACTGCATCCTCGTATGTCAAGAGATCATGTTCAAAGAATAAGGCTAGATGAGCTACATCGACATTTTCTTCATCGGAGAAGCCTTGCCCACTTACATAATCTTTCATCCACCCTGATGGTATTTGAACTCGTTTTCCATGAAAAGGACTGCCATCACTTGAAGACTCTTCCTTTTCAAGTGAGTCACTTGGAACGGATCCTATGTTTTCAAGTTCATGTTCAGGAGTGCTGTTTGCTTCAGTTTCCTCTCCAAGGCTTTCATTTGTCCCTGCATCTTCATCGCCTTCCCATTCCAAATCAGCCAAAATAGTTTCCTTGTGACTATCATCCCAGTTCCACCTTTGGTCTTCTTTAAAAACCACATCTTGACTCACGATTATTTTTTGAGAAATTGGATCAAATAACCTGTAAGCCTTAGATGCTTCACTTACCCCAAGTAATAGGCATTTCAGACTTTTGGCATCGAGCTTTACTCTTTTGCTATCAGGTGCATGAACATGGGAAATGCATCCAAACACCCTAAAGTGACTTACTGAAGGCTTGAACCCACTCCAGGCTTTTTCTGGTGTCTTGTTTCTCACAACAAGTGTCGTGCTTCTGTTCAAGACATGCACTGTCCAATTCACTACTTCAGGCCAGAAATTTTTTGGGATTTGCTTCTCTGACAGCATGTTGTGCACCATATTCATGATAGTGCGATTTTTTCTCTCTGCGACCTCGTTCTGTTAAGGTGTGTAAGCTGATGTTAATTGCCTTTGAATGCCATTCGCATCACGGAATTGAGTGAACTCTTGTGATGTAAACTCACCCCCACGATCAGTTCAAAGACTCTTTATGAATGCACCGGTTTTTTTCTCAACTCTAGCTTTGTAGGATTTAAAGGTATCAAATGCTTCTGATTTTTTAACTAAGAAATAAACCCAAGTTTTTCTGCTAAAGTCATCAACAAAAGTAATGAGATACCTTTTTTTGATGTTCGAAATTGGTTTTATTGGCCCACATATGTCTGCATGCACTAACTGAAGAATTCCAGATGCCCTCCATGTGCTTTTCTTTGGAAAAGGATCGCGATGTTGTTTTCCTATCAAGCAGTCTTCACAGATCTTCAAAGGAGCCTTTAATTGAGGTAAACCATCCACCATATTCTTTTGTTGGATCACCTTGAGACAATTCCATCTAAGATGACGATGACGATAACGGTAATGCCAGAGTTGAGTTTGATCTGTGGTTATAGAGGAGAAGCATTTTTCCTCTTTTGGTGGACAGTGACCAAGCACAGCAAACATTCTGTTGTACGCCATCTCGGTGTCCATGATTAAACCTTTTTCAGGATGATAAATCTCGTACTTTCTATGTTGCATGAGCACTGCAAGACCTTTCTCTTGAAATTGACCAATGCTTAGTAAATTGTTTTTCAACTCCGGTACAAAGAAAACTTCAGTAATCACCTGCACAATCCCATTTATCTCCAGTCGAATGTTGCCCTTCCCTTGCACAGTGAGACTCATATCATTGCCCAGCTTCACTTTTTCTTTGAAATTGTTATCAAATTATGAGAATAACTCTCTTTTCCCACACATGTGATTACTACACCCAGAGTCAAGAAACCACAAGTGATCTCTTCCAGCCTCATTGCCATTCATATACGCCATTAAAAGCACCTCTTCACTGCTCTCGACAAAGTTGACCTTTGTATCTCTTGCTTTTTGGGAGCATTCCCACTGAAAATGACCCAACTCATGACAGTGATAACACTCTAGGGTAGATTTATCAAACCTACCCCTACCTCTTCCTCTTCCTCTTCCTCAGTAAAAACCTCTATCACCACCTCTTCTTCCTAGTTGAAGTCTGTGAGTGATCTGAAGGGCTTGTTCATCCACATTGTAACGGTTGATCCGTTGTTCATGCACCAAAAGACTGTTTTGAAGCTCATCTATGGATAAAGTATCCAAATCATTTGATTCCTCGATTGAGCATACAACATAGTCGTACTTTGGAGTCATGGATCTCAAGATCTTCTCGATGATCACCACATCCTTCATCCTTTCACCATGAATTCTCATCTTATTGGCTGTGATGAGGGTTCTTCCAAAATAGTCATTCACCAATTCCCCAGCTTTCATGTGCAACACTTCAAACTCTTTGTGAAGAGCTTGGAGTTGAGCACGTTTAACTCGTGTTGCCCCTTTGGTATTTCTGCTTCAAAGAGTCCCAGATATCCTTTGATGTGCCTTTTTTCAATATTGTCTCCAAAATGGATCGATCAATGGCTTGGAACATATAGTTTTTAGCCTTCAGGTCCTTCAGCTTTTGATCCTCAATCACCTTCTTCTGTCCCTCAGTGAGATCTGTCCCTTCCACTGCTGCAGAGATCCCAGTTTCCACCAAACTCCAATACTCCTTTGAACGTAGAAAATTCCCCATTAGCATACTCTAGTGATCGTAGTGTCCATCGAATCATGGGATAGCAGGCTGCACAAAGTTGCTTTCACTTGTTATGTTGTTCTTTCACGCTAATGGCTGTGATACAAGTTGTTGGTCAGGCCCCGTGATAGAGCTCTGATACCATATGTTAAAACCAAGCACAACTACTCTCTGATGCAGAAAGAACTCCTTATTAAATTAAAGAACCAACATGGCTATTAAATAGCCTTACATCAAAGCAGAAAGTGAAATAACAACTCACGACTTTACAGCTCTAGAATCGTGGTGCATGACTAAATCTAAACAGAAAATAACTTGCCCCTTAAGACTAGGGATTATTATGCAGGACTTCAAAGCATTATAATCCTAAAAACAAGAAAACCCGAACCCTATCACGTAGAAGATCCTAACAACTTTAACAAAATTACAATGGCCCCGTTTGGGATGAGTGTTTGGACTAAAATAGTCATATGAGACAAAATATGCTACTTTAGCTAAATAGGACAAAATGTCACATCTAACCTATAACTATTTCATTTTTTCTCTCACAAAAGTCAAAAAAGTCAAAAATCATATTTCAAACGAGGTTTTTTAGCTCCAGGCTAAAAAACAAAAAGTCAACCCACATCCCAAACGAACCCAACGCCACTATTTCATCCATCTAAGGTTAATAAAGCTAATAGAACTTGCTATGTAAGACAAACGTGACATTTTTCCTTCACATTAGCGCCTTATACTTTGATCAAAATCTCACTTAATTTTTACATTTTTACCAAAATGTCATTTTGATCTCCTTTCACTTTTAATTATTGTCAAACTCATAACGGTGATCTGCCAGAAATGTGACATTGGGACTGTTTGTTGTATCTTACTGATGGTGTAATTTGGTATAATTTCTAGGGTAAATTATGCAAATGGTTATAGTTTACACAATGTGTCAATTTGGTCTCTATTGTTTTATTTTGCTCCTAAATTAATGGATTGTGTCATATTGATCTAATAAATAACGGCTGTTAGATTTGGTGGATGAAAATGTGTCAATTTGGTCCTTGTGGTTTGCATGATATATCAATTTGGTCCCTGTCAAAATCAAGCAAATTAAAATAATAAGGACCAAATTGACATATTGTGTAAACTACAAAGACTAAATTGATACATCATTTGAGTTTTTGTCCACCAAACCTAACAACTGTTATTTATTGGGTCAATATGACACAATCCATTAAATTAAGGGGCAAAATCGAGTAAATTAAAATAACAGGGACCAAATTGACACATCGTGTAAACTACAGAGACCATTTTCAATTTCTACTTACTGCTTATTAAGTAGAAATACTTTAAATAAGTCAAAAAAAATTAATTATTTAAAAGTTAGGGTAAGGATATTTTTAATTTTCACTTTATGATTATCAATTTATAACTTGTAATAAGTTGCACCAATAGGCATATTCTAGGTGTGAGTTCCAAGTGTAATTAACTTATAAAAAAATTTTTGGGTATGTATTTTTGTCTTACAATGTCATTAAAATTGACATGAAACTAAATCTTTAGGGAATTTTTATGGTGTCATTTCGTAACACTGTTCAAACATGGGTTGTGAGGAAGAAGGGGCCTGTATTTGTGACCATGTTTAAGCCACTTGGGATGCTCATTGCTCTTGCCATGGGGATTTCTTTTCTTGGAGATACTCTCTATTTTGGAAGGTACATTTTTTATTTATTTATTTATTTTATTTTATTTTTTATATTTCAGTTTTTTCATTTATATCTCTAAGGTACTATTTGGTTTAATGCAATCGAATAAAAAGTAATAGAAAGGAATGATGAAAAAAATAATATAAAGTACATTATAAATGAAATTATTATTCACCATTATAAATTAATGATCATTTTATAAAAGAGACTAAGTAATAGACCAATGAACCAAATAGAGCAATAAAATGATTAAGTTGAATTTTGGACATTTGCTTTGTGATTCTATTCAGTTGTGTTTTCGAACTCTATTGTTTATTTATTTACTTTTTTTCAAAAGCTAAATTGAGGAAAATAACACAGAAAAAATTATTTTCAAAAATTATTTTTGTCCCAGATTATGAAGCATAGGTATGGGTACGGGTATTGATATTGAGATATTGGTACGAAATGGATATGTGGATACGTTAATTTTTTTTTTAAAACAAAAAAAATAGGATACGGGTGCAGGTATGGCTGGATATATTTGTAAAATATTTATTTTTAATTTGCAGTAATGCAAAAAATAATTAGATGATTTAATCTATTAAGATTCAACTTACAATTCACATTTAATGCCTAAAGTAAATGTACAAATTAAAATTAAATATCATTATATTAAATAATTTACAAATCATAACTTAATTTTAAAATCATACTAAGTATAAAATAAAAATAAAAATAAAAATGAAGTTCAATGAATAATTTTATCTCTATATTAGAAGCAAAATATTATTTTGGCTGAGGGACATTATGTCTTGGATAAATATATTAGGTACGTTTTGATACGTCAAAAATTAAGAAGAAAAAATTTTGGTACACATTTCATATACTTGGTACGTATGCAGAAGTATCATATAAAATATCACTACTTGGTAATTATCAGATATGAATACGACATATTTGTTAAAATACCCATACTTCATACATCCCAGAAAAGAGAAAATCATACAACAAATGATGAGTGATTTTATTTTATTTTATTCCTTAACTAGATTTTAAGAAAATATGAAAAAACAAACTCTGAAAAATTATCCAATAGTGTGATGGTCTTTTTTCTTTTTTCTTTTCAGTGATCCTTAGTTTTTATTTTGAATTACATTTTGATTATTTTAATTTTATACATAATCATTTTTCTATTTAAAATTTAACGACTTTAAATTATTTAAACAATCTCATAAGGAGTAACCTTTGTGGTTTATTTTGTAATGCAGTGTGAGTGGAGGGGTCATAATAGCTCTTGGTGTCTATTCAGTACTGTGGGGAAAGGTTGAAGAAGAGAAGGCTGTGGAGAACACAAATGGAGAACACACTAGCTTTACTTCAACCTCTGATAATAAATTGCCTCTTTTACAAAAGAAAAGTATGGAAACATAGCAACTTTGTGCAAGAAGATGGATTATAGAAAGCCATATCAAACTCATTTTAATGAGTTGCTTCCGTGTGGACCAACTACCATATATATAAATCCATGTTTAATATTGCACTAATCAAACTCAATTTTTTTAACGTTAAGTCAAACTGCACTCACCTCTCTTGAGATTTGAAAAAAATATAATTAGTTTCATATTTTTGACATAATTATAGTAACCTTTCTTTAGACCATTAACCTATTTTCATTAAATAAAATCAATAAAAAAAATACTATTTTAATCATTAAAGTCAATATACGTAAAAGGTTTAAAATACCATCTTTCGTTGAGTTTAATGATTAAAGAAAGAGGCAGAAAGGCAGAGACTAACCTTTGCACCGATATATTTGGTGAGACATGGTCAACCTAGAAAAAATATTGAGCATGTGTAAAGAGAGAATTATGTGAATTTTAAAATTGATTAGCATTTTTAAAGTTTAAAGTTTTATATTGTTTTTATTATTTTGATCGGCATTATTTTTGGAAGCGACTAGAGCAACTTATCATATTATTTTGAATTTTAGATTTAAAAACATAAATCATTAGTGCTCTTTTTATTTTTATTTTTATGTAGTTAAATTGTTTTGATCAACAATATTTTTGGAAAAGATGAGGGGGTTGTTTTCAATTTTGACATTCAAAATCATATTTAATTAAAACTATTTTTTAGTTTAATGCACTAAACAATAGATTTTTTTTTTTAATTTCTATAAAAATTAATAAATTAATTGAGAGTTTGAAACTCGCACAATTAGAATAAAGATAATGTCCTACTCTTCAAAAACATGTTGAATATACAATATCTGAATATACAATATCTAACTTTAATCAAGACTCATAACTTCCAATTGAAGCTCAATTTTCATGTAAGACATAAACTCTTGAATTTAACATGAATGTTCATAAAGCATGCAAGTTTGGGCTCTAATCCTCAAAATTCATGGAGATTTCCTTTTCAATTGAAGAACCATGCAAGATGTCAAGTATATTCAAACAATTTTCCATGAAATTATGCATGCATGTTGAGTGTGAGAATTAAATCATCCTATTCTTCCATAATAAGACACATATTCTAAACTCCTATTTTCATGAACAAAACTTCTAATTTTTGCATGATTTCTCCTAGATCAACTTACATTCCACAATTTCATGAGTATCATAGCTTGATTTTATAATGTTAGGAGGGAATTTCTACCTTCACTACAACAAAATGCACATTTGGCAACCAAAAAAAATTTAGTCGCCAAAAGTTGTGGAATTAGCGTCCAAAAATTTTTTTAGTTGGAAAAAGTACAATATTTAGCTACTAATTTTTTTTAGTCGAGGTATATTGATTATTGGCAACTAAAAAAAAAAATTAGTCGCTAAAAATACCAGAATTGGTGACAAAAAAATTATTTTAGTCGCTGTATATTGAGTTTTGACTACTAAAACCATTTAGTCGCCGAATGTAAAATAAAAAATTATTTCTCATCTTTGGCAACCAAAAGTTTGGTCGCCAAAAACATATTTTCAGCGACAAAAAATATTTTAGTTGCCGTTGTAAACACCTCATTGTTTACCGCCCTTAAGACTTGGGTGCCTCAAGTTGATCACTTGATGAAAGATACGTTGTACAAATATTCGATTTCTTCAGCAAGAAGAGCTTCTAAATCTCAACCTTACACCCATTTTGGACCAAAACTATTTTGACCAAAACTATTTTAAATCTTAAAACCCTCTTTTTCAAAAATATTTTTGAAAATGTTTCTACGATGTTCTGAGGCTCGCATTTTATTAAAAATTACACTTTTCAGTAAATGAAATAAGGACAAAGGGAAAATAAATGGAAGGGAGGTGAACTCTCTTAAAAATCTTTAAAACATCTTATTTATAGGTTTGGAGTTGACGAAAATAGGAGGAGAAGGAAGGAAACTAGTTGGGGAAATGGTTGAGCTTGAAACCATTAAGATAGAATTGAACAACCTTCACTAAATCAAGCCTATCTTTTTTAACACTTAGACTTTAGTTGTGAGACTACCACCATTGGAATGTGGACTTCCCAGGCTTCAATTTAGACTCAAGAATCTCCTAAAGTCGAGTCCGGATGAGGGAGATATGGCCGTTTGAAGTTAGGCATGTATCTGATTAAGATAGAAATGAGTAACCTTCACTAAAATAGGTATATCTCTTTTCACACTTAGAATTTAGATGTGAGGCTACGTCCATTGAAAAGTAGACTTTTGGGGCTTCAATTTAGACTCAAGAATGACCAAAAACCGAATTTGAATAAAGGAGATATGCCCGTTTGAAATTGGGCGTGGAAGTAGATTTTTGTGGCTGGCAACCCACCATTTGTGGCCGGCCACCCACTAGCCTGCTAGCCACTTGTGTAAAGCGCAAATATTTTTGGCCACCTGTCCCTCAAAAGCTCCAACTGTTTTTATATAGATATTTTCGACCTGAAAGGCTGTTTTTCTATATATACTTGACCTTCCCTCATGTTTTTAGGTTACAAAAAATTTCTTAAGGACCAAAACTTGAAATTCTCTCTCTATCTCTATCTTACAACACACACACCTTATCCAAATACTTCCTAAACCAATATTGGAGCTCTCCTTGCTGAGATTATTGAGTCCAAATTTCAGCCCTTGAGAGTGAGAACTTGTGGGTTTGTTAACAAAAGAGTTGCCTTACTTCAAGAGGTATAATTTTGAGCATCTTTGTACTTCTCCTCTCCTATCTTTTCTTGATATTTTTATGTGTTAGTTTTATTTATGCTTTGTATATCATGCTTGTAATGTAATAGTCCTCATAAGTTTGGTGTTTTAGGCATTAGACACCAACCTATTCGAGTTAATAGTATTTATTTCAAGCTTTCCATACTTGTGTTCACCCCTAAGCATCTCTGCAACCTCCCTCATTTCTTGATTTTTCATTCGTTTTGAGAGTTGTTTCAACCGATGGATTGTTTAAGTTTGAGATTGAGATCGTTGTGCTTAATGGTTTATGTACATGATATGAGATCAGTCTCTACTAATCATGATATGATTTTTATGTACATTATATACTCTTGTTCCAGTTTATTTAAGCTAGCATTTACTATGTGATGCGCACACATACAAGTATAGACTAAAATTGCAAGAATTGGAATAACTTGAGTCATGTTTGTTTTTGAAAATTGTTTCGAAATACGTACTATTTGAAAAAGTGATCGCATATGAACATAACTCAAATTATTCTAATTCAAGCAATAAACCTTCATCCACAGACATTCAAGCAGTTTATCAATTAAGCATTTAGCCTCATGGCAAGCATGCTAGACATGGCAACATTCACACGCATGCGATTTATGCTAAAGCAAATAAAAGCTTACCTAGTACTCCAAGCCAAAATAAACAAAAGAGTTAGAAAAATGCATGATCCTAACTTTATGCAATATGACTAATGCAACACATGTGATATGCAATTAGATAGGCTCAGCTACTAAATATGGCATATGAATCGATTTGATAATATGCCGTCTATGCACGTATTCAAAGAAGTATTAAAATGACAATGCAGTTAGAATGATGAACCGAGTCTTGGTGTATGCAATACGAATGGATGCAAACATGGAGAATGCTAATCAAAACATGATGTTCCTAAACTAACCATCATAAGCAGTTAAATAAAAGGAAGAAAGACGTGGGATTGAAAGACATACACATTATTACATTGCGCTTTCACGAAGAAAAGTCCGAATAAACAAACTAGCTAGCTAATTTACTTAACTAATTAAAGCTAAGCTAATTATTACAAACAAATGAAATTAGCTAAACTACTTAACTAATTATTACAGCACTTGAATTAATTAACTAACTATCACTAATTAACTAAAATAAATACAGCACTTGAATAAAATCGACTAGCTATCACTAATTAATTACAACAAGATTTATTCACAACTACGATAATAATACTAATGAAACAATTAATCGCATTTGATAAGAGCGTAATGGAAGATAAATGAAGGTTGTATGCGCAGCGCCTGAAAGCTACTCTGTCTGGCCAAGTCGCCTCTGTTTCACCTTCAGCCACTGCCTCTGTTTTCTGTAAAACTGCACTGCTGGCCACACACTGAGGGCCGGCCGTACATCACTGATGGCTGGCCGTGCATCAATTTGGTGCAAAGCTCTGTTTTTGTGTTCTGAGGTGAAACCAGTGCAGACAGAGCATTCTCAAGCTCTGTTTGTCCCTTCTTCCTTCTCTGTCATAGGAAAGTCTCGAGAGATGGTTGAAATTGATTCCAAAGCCATCAATGAGCAAATTGATTGCTTGATGGTCTCGAATGTAATTTTGGACAAAAGTTAATAAAATGCAAAAAGTAAGACCACCCTTCCCTCTTGTCATCGTGTGAACTCAAAGAGGGAAGTTATAACGCTTCAAGAATCATCAAAATGCCATGGATTAGCATGTGATGACTCTTGACACAAGTAACTTGGCATAACGTCCAGCCAAGTTGAAGCAATTTAAGCCACTTTCTTTATGTGTGTTGATCCAAGTTTTAAACCAATTTTATTAAGCCTTACCATTCTTTAGTCCATTTGTCCATGGTGATATTAAAGTCCTCTAAACAAGAAGTAATGTCAAACGAGAGGTTCTTTTAAAGCACGAGAGAAAGACTATACCGTTGGCAATGAATCTTCGAAAAGATTAAGCCATTAAGTATGAATCTTTCTTACATATCTTGAACAACCTCAATCAGTTGAAATCATTCTTAAGAATGAAAAAGATGGATGATGGATTGATTGTTAAACTTAGACTATTAAACATGGAAATGAGTAAAGGATTACTTGGAACAACATGTAACAAGTTACATATGCTAACTTGTGAGACCACAAATGAACTAAACAAAGCATGAACCAATTTAAAAGGATTGGACAGCCCTAAAACAGTCCTTAATACATAAAAAACAGAGGCTAGACATGCATGAAAAGAGCTTAAAAAGCTAAACAATAAAGAGAAGAATGAAGGCTAGTAAGCAAAAGGAAGGAAGGGTGGCTAATCCCTCCACTTTTGAAACCTCAAAACATGATTTTTAGCCTTTTGAAAACTTTGAAAATCAGTGTAAATATC